GGAGGGTCATGGCAAAGTGACACTCCATCTTTTTTAAATTTTTTTATTTTTATTTATTATTTTTAAATTCATTCACTGTATATCATTACAGCATACAAAATGAATTTTCTCATCCAGAATACTTGGCTCAATCCAAGATAGTAACATACATATTATATTCATCAGATAGTTTTCCATTTTGTATTTCTTAAATGTTTTGTTTCTTTTCTTTTCTCCCTCTCACCCTCCTCCTACACTTCTCTAATATCCACAGTTGTTCTCCATGCCTTTATACTGTCCAATATTTAATTTCTACCACAGAGTGCAGGCATTTGGTATATATTAAGTGGGGACATACGATGCTTCTCTTTTATAGTCTGGCTTGCTTCATTAGCAGTAAATCGTCCATATTTGTCCACTTTCTATTAAATGCTAGGCAGTGAGACCCTATCTTACATACTACATATATATGTGTGTAGTCATGCACACATACAGAAAAAAAAAATGGAGTGTTGGTATAAATAAATAAATTGACCAAAGGAAATAGAATAGAGTCCAGAAACAGACCCACACAGTTATCTGACTTACGAGAGAGAGAGAGAGAGAAGAGAGAGGGGAAAGGCTCCAATAAAATTCAGTGGGGAAAAAAATGTTCTTTTTAATAAATGATGTTGAATCAGTTGGCTATCCATTTGGAAATGGACCTCATACATGCAAAAAATAAAAAAGTTAAGATGGATCACAGAAGAGGAATAATGTCAACAAGAAGAGTTTCCAGGTCTTGTCCTCTTTCAGACACATCAGTTTGCACAACCATTCATATATGAAAAATACCTTCACAAGACCTACGAAATCCAAGTGAGAGATTACAGTACATGTGTAGAATATGGCAATAAGAAAAGACACATTGAAGAGGTAGGAACAACAGTTTGATGTTACCCCCATGAATATTCCTCCTAGCCCATATATTGCAACACGATTGCTAAGACATGGAGCCAATTCAAATGTCCACAAACAGATGAATGGATTGAAAAAGTGTGGTACATTGGGACCACCAGTTAGCGTAATGGCTATGTCACTGGACTCCCACGTAGTCGATCACGGTTCAAGTCCTGGACCCGGTGGCTTAAACTCACACCGGGCACGTGTGCGTACATGCCCAAGATCCCAAGAGGAGAATGGAGGAGAAGGGATTGCGGCATGGCCATCCCCTCTGGGGGTGATTTCTCGCTTTCTATCTCTCTGTCTCTCTCTGTCTGTCTGGCAAGTGCACACGTCCTATAGCAAAAAAAAAAAAACTCTCAAAAAAAAAAGTGTGGTACATACACTCCATGGAATACTATTAAGTCATAAAAAACAAGGCCCTGCCTGGAATTTGATAGAAAGTAGATGAGTATGCAAGATTTGTCGCTGAGTGAAGCAAGTCAGGCTATGAAAGAGAGACATTGTATATCTCCACTTAACATATACTGACTGTCCACACTCTATGGTAGAACTGAAAGTCTGGAGGACATAAAAGCATTAAAATTGTTATGGACACTAGAGACAAAGTGGAAGGAGAGTGTGGGAGAAGAAGAGCATAGGAAAGGAAATTTGGGGAAAAAATGGAGAGGTAAGACATTTATGGGACACAGATATGGTTTATTATCTGTTGATGAGGATGTGTAAAGTACTGGGCTGGACTGAAGTATATATCATGCTGGGAAAAGTCTCTTTAAAATCTAGACGATGTATAGCGATTGAATGTATAAATAATAATAAAGAAAAAAAGAATGGATAATCCAGTGTTATTTAACCTATTTATTTTACCAGGTTTCCTGAATTTTAACATAAACCTGACATTAGTGCCCCTAAATAAAGAAAATTTAATAGACTTATCTCACTTATAAATAGAAGTATTGAACTTATAAACAAAATATAACCACGTAGAAATATATTTTTTGTATATAATATGCAGGGTTTATTCCATGCAAGTGATGGTCTTCAACATTAGAAAATTTTATCAAAATTAATACACCTTACAAGTTAGTTGAAGGCAAAAAAAAAAGTAGCACATCACCAAATGCTAGAAAGGCATTTGGCAAACTCTAAAAGCAGTTCTAAAAAAATCTTGTGAAATAAGAATAAAAGAAAAATAAAGAATATATACCAGAAGGACCAGCAGTTGGCGTAATGACTATGTCACTAGACTCCCACTTAGTCAACCACGGTTGGGTTGCCGGACCCAGTGGCTTAAACTCATACCAGGTGCGTGTGTGTGTGTGTGCATGCCCAAGATCCCAAGAGGAGAATGGAGGAGAAGGGATTGTGGCGTGGCCATCCCCCTGGGGGGTGATTTCTCGCTTTCTGTCTCTCTGTCTCTCTCTGTCTTTCTGGGGAGCGCAAGCACTCTATAGCAAAAACTTCTCACCAAAAAAAAAAAAAAAAGGTCAATGTTCTCCAATGCCCTAGGGTTGGAAAAGGGTTAACTTGGTCTCTGACACTAATTGGAAAGCACCACCTAAAACTCCCAGGTACTGCAGACATTCTTTCTCCTCTTCCCTTTTTATTCCCAAGCTCGTTGGTCCTTTCTTGACTTCATCACAGATGACTGACCTTGCATTTTCTTTTTTCTTTTCTTTTTTTTTTTTTTCAGAAGTTTTGGTTTGCTATAGGGCACGTGTGCTAGCCAGAAAGACAGAGAGAGAGAGACAGAAAGCGAGAAATCACCTCCCCAGGGGGGATGGCCATGCTGCAATCCCTCCTCCTCCGTTCTCCTCTCAGGATCTTGGGCACGCACGCTCATGTGCCTAGCATGAGCTTAAGTCACTGTGTCAGAGACTCGAACCACGGTTAGCTACATAGGAGTCCAGCAACATAGCCATTATGCCAACTACTGGTCCCCCTGACTTTATGTTTTCAAGTTCTTGCCTTCAGACATAAAGATTGTAGCATCCATCAACATTTGGCACAAAAACTAAGGACAGTACATGTGGCAGCCAAATATGACATTGAGAGCCAACAACAAAACAACCCACGAACCAATGGGTATTCTATCCTGGGATCCTCTAATTACCCAACCTTAACCCCTCCTTTCTTAATCCCAAAGAAAGCTCCTTGCCCCCACCTTTCTGGCCAATGTAATTTTTCTCATCTGGCCCCTTTCCATTCTCAGAAGGTGAAAAAATTCTTTTCTGTCCACTTCCTTTCTGTCTGTGAGTTCATTGACAGCCCATGACCGAGGCCACTCTAGCAAATGGCAGAGATTACCCTAACACGCACTGTCACCATCATTATTGAACAGTCTCAGAGATTCAATCAATTTAGCAAGATGAACGGGAAAAGAAAATAGATATATAAACATTGTAAAAGAATAGGTGAACTCTTTTGGGCATGTGTGGGCACTGATGATATAATTATGTAATAAAATATCTGGAAGTCACTATTAAAAAAATGACTTTAATTAAAAAAAGAATGTTGCAAGGCATAAGAAATGTAAGACAAATATACAAAAATTTTTGTCTAATCCATAAACGAGCACCAAGAATTTGAAATATGAAAAATAATCCATTCACCACAGAAACAAAATGATAGCAAAACATTTACAAAAATGGCAAAGAAACGTATTTAAAAACTATAAAATCTGGTGAGCTCCAGGCAATGCCAGTCAGCTAGTGTGCTCAACACTACTTAGACCTGGTCCTTTAAAACAGATAGGACTCGGGTCTGGGACAACCAGAGAGGCTGAGGCTATCGAAGCGAACCCAGGAGGGATTCCACTCCAGGTGATTGGGGATGGGTCAGGTCAATTGTGAGTTGTATCAATGGCCTCTATAAGGAAGTTGTGCTCACCACCCAGAGAACGGGTTTTTGGGTTTGGGTAGGCTTTGAGAAAAATAAATCATCAGCACTGAGGAGCTTTCAGTTAAGGGAAGCCAGAGCTGGCGCCGTATTCACTCCATCATCGTGGTCACTTGTCTAGGACCTATTTAATTATCTTATTATCACTAGTGGGGAAGACATGGTGGATAAATTTCTGGATCACCTGAAATGGAAGGGAACAACAACAAAAAGTCTAGAAGAAAAAGAAGATGGAGCAGCAATAAACTGCAGAGGTAAGGAGCATCTGTTCCAGGACCATCAGCATTCAACTCATTGTCTCAGTTGTAATAACGACACCTAACACTAAAAGGTCCTTAAGACTACAGATTTATAGACCAAGCAAGTAGCATAGTGATTAAGGCATGGACTCCCACATGGCCAACCCAGTTGGAGTCCTGGAACTGGCTGCTTGAAAATCATGCCAGGTGTGTGTGCCTGCATGCCTAAACTCCCTAGAGGAAAATGAAGAAGGGATTATGTCATGGTCACCCCCCCCCCAAGAGGGGGACTTCTCACTTTTCCTCTCACTGTCTCTATCTTCAGAGCCCAGGCACCCTTAAAAAAAATAAATAAAAAGACTAGAGATTTATGTTGTAGTTCTTTCCAAAACTTTACATCATAGTCATTGAGGAGATTAAAAAGTACTTAAGAGAAGGCCAGAGGTGTCATGCAGTTAAGGCACTGGATTCCCACATGGCCGACTGCAGTTCGACTGCCAGACCCAGTGGCTTGAAAACCATGCTGGGCATGTGTTTGTGTATGCCCAAAACCCCAGGAGGAGAATGGAGGAAGGATTGCAAGGATTGCCATCCTCTCCTAGGGGTGATTTCTCACTTTCTCTCTCACTGTTTCTGTCTTGCTCAGGTGAGTACACAAGCTCTATGGAAAACACACACACACACACTTAACTCCATTGTAGTTTTAAACATCTCAGTGAGTATATTTAGCATAGATACTAGTTAACTTGGTTTTGTCATCAAGGAGCACAGACATACTAAACTGAAAGGAAGCCTAGAAAATCAATTCCATTGCAAGGTTAAATTTCCATTGGTGGGCAGGAGACTGGAGACCTCACTGAAGTCATGGCCTTCACAAATTACAGCAGCCTCAGCTGAGCTCAGCTGACCTTTGAAGATCTGTACACGAATTCCACCACTCACCAATTCCTGTTTGGCACTCTTGCGGAACTGGTGGGTAATGCAAGAGATGCTGATGCCACCAGAGTAGATATTTATGCAGAAAGGCGAGAGGACCTTCGAGGAGGATTTATGCTTTGCTTTCTGGATGACGAATGGATCCGAGTGAATGCTGCCAGTGTGATCCAGGTAGGGAAGTCGGCCAAGCGAACACCTCAGTCCACCCAGACTGGGCAGTACGGGAACAGGTTAAAATCAGGCTCAATGCGCATTGGAAAGGATTTTATCCTCTTCACCAAGGAGGGAGACACCATGACCTGCCTCTCCCTGTCTTGCACCTTTCACGAGGAAGAAGGCATTGATGAAGTGAGAGTCCCGCTGCCCACCTGGAACGCTCAGACGCAGGACCCTGTCACAGACAACGTTTGCCATGGAGACAGAACTCGTCTGCAAGTAGTCCCCCTTTCACAGTGAGGACGAAGTGATGACCCAGTTCATGAAGATTCCTGGGGACAGTGGGACACTGGTGATCAACTTCAGTCTCAAACTCATGGGTAACAGAGAGCCAGAACTAGACATAGTCTCAAGTCCGAGAGCTATCCAGATGGCAGAGACTTTCCTGGAGGAGCTCACTCCGGGCCTAGCTGCAGCGCTCTTCATGGACCCCGGATGAGGATCTTCATCCACCTGCATGAGGTGCAGACCCAGAGGCTCTCCTGCAGCTGTACAAGCCCAGAGGGGATAAGTACTCGTCCAGCCGTTTCAAGACCCGAGCAGGGCAGGAAGTAGAGAAAGCGGAGCTTTTAGCACGGATTGCAGAAGGGAAGGTGCGCGAGGCGGAGAGCAACGCGCGGGGCCTGGAGGTGCACCTGGGTGCAAACCTCACTTGCGACTCCAGAACACGGCCGTCACCCTTCGCAGAGAAGCCAATATCAAGAAGAGGATCAAGGAGGCCAAGCAGCGAGCACTTAAAGAACCCAGGGAGCTGAACTTCGTTTTCTTTCTTTCTTTCTTTCTTTTTTTTTTTTTTTTTTTTTTTTTTTTTTTTTTTTTTTGGGGGTTTTTTTTTTTTAACGTGCTTTTTTT